GAGAAAGCTCGAATGGACCGAGCGCCGCGCCGTTTCGATCGAAACTTGAGCTCCGAGACTTCTCCACGAGTAATCGGCTTATCTCAATGCCATGGACAGTTTTCCAATGTTGTTACGCTTCCAGTAGCTAGAGTAATGTATTTAGAGTAATGTCTCACGACCTCTCAGCAAAGGCTCAATACAAGAGGGAATCGTCGACGCCGAACGAAGCTGAGCGGTCATCTCGAACCATAACACCGGAACGTAATGGTTCCCTGGAACAGCGACAGACTGAGATTATTCCACCGCCTGGAGGCAGGAACTTCTGGTAGAGTCGACTGCACTGTCCTGACCGAGAGGTATTCTCCGATGCGAAAGTGGTGTGCCGATTATGTCGCCCGCTTTCGCCTCGCCGTCCCATTAGGGAGAAAAATGCTTTCGTGTTGACTCATTCGCGAGGCAAGTGAATCACGATTTTAATAGCGCTCCGAGAATGAAGCGGATCGATGGTGTCGAGCGCGAGCGCCAAGGTCCGGGATTTTCCCCGGTCGAACGGGGCTCCCCTGATAACATCAAAATTCATGCAGGGGACGATCATTTTTTTATGACACTCAATTCCTCAAGCTTCTTGCTCCTATCTCCGGGGACATCGGAATAACAGCACTCGACTGTTCTCCTTCCCGGAGCAGGCATTTTGTTTTCGATCCCGACGCAGGGAAGCCAATCCAGGGAAAAATGAGCCTTCACTTCGAATCCTATCTATTTATGAAAGGTCGACCTTGACAAGGTTGGGCTTCATTTTCAAGCGTCTCTATCTCTTCTGTCATTCCTACCCGACCGGGACTCTCTCTTCTTCTCGCTTCCTGTTTCGCGTTGTCCCTACATGCCGCAAACCCTTGCGCTTGCGGTCTCGCTGTGGGAGGGTCAGAGCGTCCGGGAAGTCAGTCGACCGACAGAGTGCCAATCTAGGCTGAGTAGTCGTTGACGTTCGCCTGCTGCTAACCGCGGCGGATCACTTTAAAATAAAGCAACGACCAAGTTACTCTCCTCAGGGGCTTTGAGCAGTTTCCTTACAGCGGGCGACTCAAGCCCTTCTCGGTGATAGCTCTCGGTCTTGACCAGATACACTTGGATCGACCGAGTGGAACAAGGGGCCGATGTTCACAACAGCGCTCGGATGCTCAATTCCACCTTTAGGGACGACGTCGTTGTCCGACCGCTTAATCTTGATCTTATGTTTGCAGACTCTGATTCGAATTGCGGTCAGTCGATTTCCTGATTCGTGATGCTCAGAGTTTTCATTAGGCACCTATCGATCAAAGCCCATCCGATGCTCGAGTAGAGCACGCCAACTTTTCATTGGATTCGGATTTCGAGGGAGGGATTCCGAGTTTGTCGGAGGACAGGTATTTGCCTCAAATACCTCAGGACAATCCTGCCCCGGTGTTTCGGTCGTTCTGCCGCGATCGTTCAGAGTCTATTCATAGAACGGAGAGTTACCCAGCGTGTCGAAACATGTGCCGACTGCTGTTGTTATTTGCGAGCCCGGAAGCGAAGGGTCTGGAACCGGGGAGAGATCGCGAGAGCTCGCGGCTCTCCTCCGCATTTTGCTTCAGAAGAACGAGATAGGAATTTCATGGCGATAGCGGGTTCGTTCCGTGCTGCTCCAGTCATTACGCAGGACGCTCCGTGTCTTCCCATCGCGTTCGCGATCTCGAATCGTCTTCTGAAGATGTCTGTCCCCGCTAGAATGTCTCAAACATCGCGTGATTCGCTGGAATCATTGCGAAGCCCACCGAAGCTGCGTGTATCGGTTATGTTTTTGTACACAATAGGACGTCGAACGAATCGAGTTCTTCGGGCGCATGCACATCGACCGGACAAACCATCGGACTCGAGCGCGGTACTGATGGATGAGCAATCTGAGCGCAGGCGCTCGGGGCCGGAGCTCGATCTGCGCGAAAAGATTAGACTCCAAATCTCGCTCAGTAGGCTGGGTTTACGAAAACTGCGGCATTCCTCGGTGTCCGGCCCGACTTTGACGGGAATTAGAGTACGCGCGCCCGCTGCAACGCCACGTAGGTTCCGTGGTCGTCTCTTCGGCCGTTTCGGTCCACCGCCGATCGGTCGATTTCCCAGTGCTTCCCAGTGAAAGACAGTTTGCTTGTTGGTCGGTCGTTTCTTGCGTGATCGGTCGCTCGGCCGGCTGCGCGAGGCATCACCTCCCTTGCCGTCGAGGTGATCGATGAACTCAATGCAAACCCCATCAATCATCGCCCCTCAGACTGGAAAAACATCTGCGATGTGTTTGGCATTCTAGCTACAGCGCCAAGAAGGCGGAACAACCCATACAGTTTGTTTTTCGCACGATCCCGTCTACGCTCCGAGGCGGTATGTTCAAATAATGTATCAGACTTGCTGCACGAGTCACGAACCATTGTAAATCAATGCATACCCGAGTCCCCGGACGGGGCTCCGGCCGTCGGAGATGGGAAATGCCAGATTGAGACCGCTGGATCTGTTTTGTGTCAGACCTATCGGTGTTCCGATTGGCATTGGCATATGTACGTCCCTTATGATGAAACCTCGATCGAAGCGCGAGATAGAAGCGACGTAAAGCCGCAGAGGAAGATGCGAAATTGAATAAGAGCTCTCACTCTGGATTTGATTAATGGAAGACGACAGGGGAGTTCCACCGGGACGGCGTCTTTTCATTCGTTTCAGTCCAAGGTCATTCAATTCAGGTTATGATAGGGACTGCCAGCGCGACTCAACTCCACTCGGGGCGACTCGTCGCTCTGCTAATTGATGACGCGAAAAACGGCGGCTCACCGTAAACATCCGTGCCGGATTGCTCTGATCCATCGATAACTAGCTCAAGGTATAAATGGTGTTCGCGCGTGGTTTGAATGAGCCCGACTAGGAAGCTTGCTTACGAGTTCCATTAGTTAGGTACTTATTTCCGCTCATTCTCTCTTTGCTTAGCGGAAGTTGTGGGAAGATTACGTATTCCTTGTGAGCTCTGGCGTTGCTTAAGTGTGTCTGGACGCTTTCTCACAGGGAGGTTTGTCTGTTGTTAGCGGGTACATCAGCTAAATGGCGCTACGCGAAAGGGGACACGGTCGCTAATTGCTCCCGAGTTAAGGTCGCTGATCGATCCTACGGAGCGAGGGGGTTCCTCGATGTGTTTACTCTGCGTTACGAGCATTCGGTTCGGATACAGAACGGACTCCCTCACGACTCGTTCCTGGGGAGGGTCCCGATCTATTCCGACTCTCAATGACACGCCCCTTGTTATAAGTTCCTTATTTATCCATTTTCATGTCTACTCATAATTTCACAGTGATTCGTGGGATATTCGCTGCGATAACTCCAGCGTCCATCGGTCATCCACTTTACGCTGTGGGGTCGTCATGATGTTTTTAGCGTCGTCCGCGCACGTCGTGAACTTGCCCCACTCACGCTTCGCGATCACGAGTAGGCTGGCGGTACAAACATGCACGAGTGCTCGGAAATTCGTCTCCATGCAAATGTCACGAAAGGCGGTACTCATTCATCTGTCCGGCTTGGTTTCAACTGAACGAGCTGAGCGCCTGTTCACGAGAACAACCTCCACCTCCCTGACCGAGGGTGGGCCTGGAACGCGCGGGCAGCAACGTTCAAATTGTTGGACGATACTCGTCTACCTATCGTGGGATTCCCGCCTCCCAACTTTCGCCCCGTCCCCTCCACCGCTAGTCTTCCCGTTCTGCCGTCGGTGATCCTACGCTCCGGCTGTCCCTCATTTCCTCGAAGCTCAAAACTCTATTCCCTTTTTGCACTCTGCCCTTGCCATCTGTCCTCGGGGAAAAAACCCTCGACACGTAGCAATGGCCGGGCCTTTGAAGGCGAGCAGCTGTTCACTCAAACGAGTTCTTCTCGTATCGCAGGGAATGATTCAGATAAAAGCCAGATCAGTCTACGTAAGCACGGGAATGTATTTCTCAGGCGCTCGCTTCAATAGCAGCTGTTATTCCTCACGATTCAGAGGGTTGAAAAGAGGAAGCCCACGGAATTCGACCGAGGCTCCATGCCGAAACCCCCGAAACAAGCGGGACGTAGGTACTTGCCGAATGCCGTTTCCAAAGAATCCGCAATAGGTTTCTGTCGACATCAGATCAACGGTGATCGACTCGATCGCTTGCAGGCGTCCGACAGTAATACGCGTCTATTTTTATCTTGAAAGAGTCGGCGGTCCGATGAGTGCGGAGGGGCATCCGTCTTCTCCAAAGACCACACAGGATCGGCTCAAGCCGAGGATCGATCCTAACTCTCCAAATCCGATTCAAGTCTCAATGTGATCCTGACGAACCTCTCTCGCGATGCAATCGTGGTCGATCCCGAGCCAGATATTCCGGTGCCTGCCCCGAGTCGCTCCATCTGCCGAGAGGCTGGACTGGAATCGGGGGATCGGTTCGGAGAAAAATTGCATTGCGAAGCACTATCGACTTGGAACCCAGAGTCGCATAAATTTCGGAATTCAAAAATAGTTATTCCCGCCCCCTTGGGATCTCAGGCGGTGGTCACTGCCGAATAATATTTTTCCGTGAGTAACATCGCGATTTCTCATGTTCATCAGTGCTAGCGAACTCTAGCGGTCCTCGTGAGGTGTGTGGTATTCACCCGATCATCAGCGAGATAGACATCGGGGGTCATAGCCTTCCGCTAAGCATTGACCCTTCTTGTGCGTCAATAATTAATTTGCGGGCCTGCACAATGGGAGTCCAAGCCCCCAGTAATTTGTTAGTCCTGAAGGCCGATGCGTTTGGCCAGATCGTTGCATGCCCTCCCGAGACAACGAGATTCTCAAGAGACGCTCAAAAAGAAGATTCTGGGTTCTCATTTCGTCTCATTGTAGGACGTTGTTCTTCCCCAGGGCCGGGTCAAGGGTTCGATTCGGAGTCCACTCGCTTTGGCCTCGTCTTGTTCCCACGGCAATTCGTTCTTGGAGATGCCTCTGACGTGACCTCGATTTGAAGAAAATGCCTGGTGGCTCGCCGAGAAGGGCTGTTGTGCTCTTCGTGCTCACGCTCATGATGTTGTTCGTCCCCTCGAGTGCGCAATTGGAAGGTTGTTTCAAAGACTGCATCTGCAACTGGTCTGGAGGGAAACGCACAGTGAATTGCGCTCACGCGCGACTCACCGATCTCCCGTCTGGGCTTAGCCGGGATACCCAGGTGAGTGGTTTCCCTGACGCAACGGCTTTCACTCCGCTCGCGAAAGTCTACAGTTCCAGAGCTCCAAGCAGGGCGATCGGTCTCTATACGCCCGCTAGTCCCTCTCCAGATTTCTCTGCCCACACCCATTCAGAATCCCCGGTACTCGACTCCTGACAGAGAGTAGAAAAAAATTTCTCCCCTTTGTAGGGTTTATGAGCTTCCTAACGAGTGGCTTACACCGCAGGTCGTCAACATATCAGAGAACTCGATTGGAAGCATCTCGGCCCGTGCTTTTCACTCTCGTGGCTACATAAACCTCCAGAGGATATTTGCGTCACGATGCGGTCTCGTCGAGATCGCGGATGACGCTTTCCACCTACTGAATAACCTCGTTGAGTTGGATTTGAGTTCTAATTTGCTGACTCAAGTTCCAAGCAGGGCCCTCTCGGACTGCTCGGGTCTGCGCCGTCTGTCTCTGAGTCACAATCCTATTAAAGTTCTGCGCGACGATTCGTTTGTTGTAAGTACCTAGCGACCGGCGCGGCTTACGCGGAATGCGACGTCATACATGCAGTTCCTGTCGAGCTTGTCCGTCGTCAGCGCATTCTGAAACATAATAACTCTGAACTCGAACTTTCTTCATCAAACGATGAATCGCCACGAAAGGCCACCGGTTGTCCATTTAGCCTTCCTCGTACCAATGTGAAAATCAATAAAAGCGCGTCCCGATCTCTTTGCATCGCATACAAGCCTCTGGATGCGAATGGAGATACAATTGAGTGACTGCGAACGATGCACAAATACCGATTCCAGGGTCTCAGTCGACTGGCCACGCTTGAGCTCAACGACTGTGAACTGCAATCGATTGAGAGCTTCGCGTTCCGTGGATTGAGCAGTTTGGAGTTTTTACGACTGGCTCGTAACTCCTTGGAGAAGATCCCGTCAGACTCGCTCGTCGAACATCTCCAGCCCCATCTCTACGAGTTGAACCTTCAGGTACGAGTGCTGCGCCGCGAGCGAAAAGTTCTTACAAGAATCTGACGAAAAAAATCGCGATCGAATATCGCCGGCTGTCGAATATCGCGTTCATTTCCAAAGGATTCTCCAGGACAACCCTTGGCTGTGCGACTGCGGAATCAGAAGCCTGCGCACGTGGATGATTAAAAACAACATCCCGCTGTCTGTTTCCCCAAAGTGCGCGCGGCCGGCCCGCCTCCAGGGTGAGAAAATAAATCGCTCTCTCGTAGAATCAACGACAAATATGAATATTTCCAGCGCCGTCGTGTCTGGAACGACGGGCCGTAGCGGGGAGAAAAGTCATCGATCAGGTTCGGTGAGGAGGGGAAGAGACGATGAATATTTGGGATGGTCGCGACCTTTTTGTTCCTTGAACAGGTATTTCTTGGAATGCCCTGACGATCGATGATTTCGCGTGTGAGCCTAAAATCATGCACGCAGACTTCACGATTTCGGCCAAAGAAGCGGACAACGTGACGCTCCAGTGTGAGGCCGAATGCCGATCGCCAGCATCGATAGGATGGCATTTCCGAAATCGAATCATTCACAATATGACGCTTATGTCATTCGGTCGCCAGTTCTACGTCATCAGAGAAGAATCGTCGCCAGGATCGAAAACCAATAGCCTGACTATCATAAATGTCATGTCGAAAGACGAGGGGATCTACACTTGCGTGGTGTCGAACCGCGCGGGAAATGCCACCAAGTCCATCAAACTAACGGTCCAGCCTCGTGACGATTTCTGGGAGCTGACGTTGACTGAGCTGATGGGTGTCGTCGTCGTGTTGACGGTGTTGATTATTGTTCTGATATGCGCGGTACACATGGTCGTTCAGCAATACGCCCGCTTCTGCGAGCAACGGGACGCTTCGGCAACAGACCTCAACATCAAGTACCAGAGCGAACTGACACCGCGGTCGCCGAGCCTTGTTGACAAGAAAGTGTCGTTGATGGATCGCGGCAGCGCAAGATTCAAAAAAGTCCTCGCCGTGAGCAAGAAGGATAATCACTTCGTCGTCGACCTTCTCGGGGGTTCGCCCGAGGTTCAAAATAAATGCGGAGAATGCTGCCACGGAAACTGTTCCGAGGAGCATTTCACTCGGATCGAGCCGCTGTTGGAAGGCTATCCACAGACTCCGAGGAGTGGCCTTGGGGTTCCGAGCGATCATCTCGTTAGCGCGGTTGCGTCGGAACTAGAACACCGGATCACCCAGAGGATCCTGAGTCATCAGCTGAGCTCTCTCATGATTTCCCAGTTCCCGTTGGGAGAGCCCTCAAACGGCGGGGAGTGCTTCCGGAAGAACGATCGGAGACCTCAAATGACCGACGTGAAATATAGCCCCGACGAAGGCTTAGGTGAAGAGGAGAAGGAACATTGTGACGACGCCTCGGTTCGGTGACCTCTGCCAGTAGATTCCAGTCTGCGATCCATAGAGCTCCTGTGATCTGTACATAAATGTTTTGTTCACTGCTGTCAACGGAATTTCGCATAAAACAATGAATACAATCGCTCGCATGTCTTCATTAGTGGAAGAATTACTCGAGTCCCCCTCCCACCTTCTCAATCCTGAGTCCAATGGATGAGCAGTTCGTGTGTTGCCTTGTATTCCGCATCTACATTCCCCATACACTCGATCAGAAACTCATTTTCACCGCGAACTTTTCTCTTTCTAACATTATTCTCCTTCTTCCCGGCCGAGCAACCGCACGCGGCGCTCGTTCCGAACGAGTGAATACTCGCGACATAAAGCCAAGACTGGGATAAGTGCGGATTTCGACACGGGATCTGCTTGACGAATTGCCGCTCTGGATCGGAAAGTTTTTCCATTAGCACGGGTGCACTCGCGCGAGCGCCTTAGGCTCAACGGAAAGTCGCCCGCAAACTTCGTAGATGCTCGGAGCCTAGCTCAAGCCCGCCCTGGCATGGAGGTCCGGATTTCTAGCCGCAGAGGCCCTAAGAAAGATACTCGTTTGTTCTCCTCCGATTTCCGAGCGGAGAGTCGACGCTGATTCGATTGAATGGTCGAGGTATCGATCTGAGAACACCGCACCGTCTGAGTCAGCCCACCTTATGCTCCGGAGACACTGGAAATTCGGAGGTTTCCTTTCTCCATTCAAAAAAATTTTCGACTTTCCTCACAAAGGTCAGAATCACGACTCCGGAGCACAAGATCCGTAAACCCCAGTAGGAGTCCCCTCAATGATGCTCCTGTAATCATGAATTCCAGGAAACCCTCTGCCTAGCTCCCAACTGTGGAATCTTATGACTGTGATGGGGGGCATGGATATTACGAACTTGAGCCTATAACACATCACCCGAGGATTCCAGGGCTTGGAAATCGAGGATCGCATTCAATTCGCAGAGATTCCCGATTGGGAGATGTGTCGCGCTTTCCCGGGTTGTCGAATCTCCAGAGCGAGATAGAATTCAACTCCAGCATGATGAGAACGAGAATTGCTTCTTCGATTGATTTGAGTTCCGAGAACTTTGAAGATATCGGGAGTTCTGCCCAGCGATCCTCGAGGCGCTGTGTACTTTTAGCGAAAATCATGCTGGGTGAGTACGGCCAACCGACGAAGCTTCGGGGTCACGCTACATAGTTGCCGAATGGAGCCCTTCGATGCTGGGAAGGATCGTGGGAACCTTGCAGGATCTACCGAATTTCGCTCCTCAAAACGAGAAGGTCTGGAAATCAGGAGTGAGCTCCATGAGGAGCTCCGAAGCTGTACCAAGTATATCAAAAGAGTCAGAACCAACTCAATATAGCCCCGTCTCTGACGCTGATTTATAATGGTGTTATGGAGTAAATTGATCGTGGGCCACCTACCGTCCACATGGATTGAAATTAATGAGGACTCTGCTGCGGTTGTCGGCGTTGCCTCGACAGCTCGCTGAGCATACGGTGGGGAAATTAATGGATACTCGTCACAGTCTTCGGCCTGTCCATGCCAGGTCTATTAGCGATGGTGTGGCGGGATACACTGTTGGACAATTCGGTAAACAAATACAAGGTCGGTCGTAAGTGACAAATTGTGGGTATTCCTTTCGCACGCCTAGAATCCGATCTGACCTTGCAGAGAGCGATATGGGGCGGGAACGCGAAGGCCGGCAATTTTGTCATCGAGCTTCATTTACTCACTCACTCAGTGGAATAGGGCAATAACTCAGCGGCTGTACTTCTCGCGCCCCTTCTACGGACCAACGGAGTCGTTGTCATGCATGCATTCTTCCCGAACGGGGAACCGGGCTGTTTGAACGGAGCGTTTCTCGACCGCGCGGCGGAAGAATAGGTCTTCCCGCTCGAGTGCAGAATTCGATGACCGGGGGAATCCGTCATACTAAGGCAACACTCATACACACATATAAGGTCAACGGTCGTGGACCTCCGAGAATTTCGATTCATGGAATCGGAATCCGCTGATATCTAAACTAGAGGACCATCGAGATTCGGTTGCTGCTGTAAGGATGCTATATGTGTAGGCGTCAGCCATAAGCTGAACATCTTCGGCTTCTTAACTTTCTTCGTATCTGAAAGCGGTTTCGGAAAAAGCATGAAAACCACGACCGCGCTGGAAGTGAAACTCACGCGGACGCGGGTCATTTAGAAGTCGTCTTGACGGGATGGCCGATTCGACCATACGGCCCGATGCGATTGTGCATCCGCCTGCTCGTCATAAGCCGCGTCTCCAACGTCATTCTCAACGAGGGCCCCCGGTGCGTTTTCTTCTTCGATGGGGCAGCCCTCGTCAAGCTCCGGGGTCGGACACTTCTCGGCGTTATGCGGAGGACCGGGTCCCTCGGCGGTGTCTGGGAACTCACCCCCGACGCACAGAGGAGAAACTTCCCTTTCGAGTTCGAACGGAGCCGGTCCCCCGTCGATATCCGGCCTTTCACCAGCTCTTTGCCGCAGAAACATCTCTAATACATACATCACAACATCCCCCTTCCTCACTCGTAAGATGGTCACGACTCATAAGATCAGGCCGGAAACGATGCACCAACTCACGAAGCACCGCGCTGATGGAAAGCGTCATTCTTACGAGAGACCCACGAAATCCAGCGATAACACTGACCAACGTAATCGTCGTCGAATTTTTTGAATAACGATGAATTTGAAATTGCTCTCTGGAATTAAGCTAGTTGCAACTGCGCGGGATCTTTTGAACAGTCAATCGTTTCCCTGCATGTCGCCGATCGCAGCCAGTTGTAGTCTGTACTTCGGATTTGGCGCTAGAGTCCTACATGGATGTCAATATTGCATGCTTGAAGAACTCCTCCCCGTGAAGTTCCGGAGCCGCGTTGTCCGCGAAGGAATGAACATTCAAATCGGACATCGCGCATCCGCTTCGACTTCGTGAGATCGCGGGGGATCACACGAGAAGAGAGGAGAGCCGTCTTCCCGGAGTCCCGAAGTGCAGCGCATGTCCACATTGGGCATGGTATGCTCGATGAGGCATGTAGCCGTGGGTACTTGATTGAAAAAAAAGATGATTTCTTGCGTTCGCCACCGAGCCATCAAGTTGCCAGTCCCCAAAATTTTTTCGTTTCTGAGATTACGTATCTCCTTGGTTAGAATATCTTGCGCCTCAAATGGGGAACAATCGTGCTTTATCTACTGGGGGTTCGTGGTAGCGATATTATACTGTATCCCCGTTTTCAGTCTGATTGACCCGGCAGCTTCCAGCGGCAGTTGTGTGTGTCGCAGTGCCTTGGTGGATTAGGGATGAAGATGTCGCGTCGAGGCGTATCTGGCATTTTAAGCAATGCCCAGCAGGTTCAAAAGAAGTTTGTGGGCTCAGCTCTAGGATTGGTCGACTTATCCATACATGTCAAGTCAGTCAAGGTACGTCTCGATAATGGATTTTAGCGTCTGATGAAATCGTTTCTCTCCCACTCAGAGGCCTCGAGTCCTCCAGAGGTCTCCTGTCGGGGCTAGAATTTCTCAACATGGGGAGGATTCCAAGTTTCTGCTGGTACTTGTCCTCTCGAAATTCGTTACGAAAAACCACTCGAAGTGATTTTTTCGTGCACCGGCGAAAGGAGACGTTTTTGTGAATAGCAATTGATCTGAATCAGTTTCTATGAGTAGCAAATTATCGGTGTGGGGAATTTCCGGGCCCATCTGATTGCTCCAAATGGTCTGGAAGGTTCACGAAAAATGAGGACTTCCTAAGAGGTATGGGCGTTCGTCGCCTCAGTTCAGCCGGAATGTCGTGGAATTTTTCGGTCACCCAGGGCTTTACATGGGGAATCGCCTAAAAATGCCGTGAACTTTCGCGGATTCTACGCGCTGACGACGAACGCCCATACCGAATTATTCGCGATGAAGAAGGAACACAATTTCTCACAAATCCTCTATTAAGGGATCTTCGAGGTGGGGAAGTCTCCTGAACCAGTGGCGGCGGCCGGCGCCATGCCTGTCACGAAAATGTGGAAAATCAAAACGAGCTCGCTCTCGACGGAGAAAGTTCGTAAAGGCGTCGTGGAGTTTTTGCTCAACAAGCATCCCCTTGATATTATGATCTGCAATCAGGCTGGTGAAGGCAACCTCGAACAGTCCATGGCTTTCTGTTTGAATCGGAGTCCTTTCACCGGCGTCAAGTACCCGATGGCCAAACGACTTTTCGAGGATAAGGTGAGAACATTAAAGGCGAAATCAGGACGAAGATAAAGGAAGCTGTTCAAGATGAGTGCGAATTCTCCAGTATTTCGTCACCATTCGATTTGCTCCATCTTCCAGGGTTTCGGCCTTCCGGTGACAACCGTCATGCGTCGCTGCATTCAAAGAACACGCCGCGCTCGATTCGCTTCGAAAAACGCAGCTATTCCGACCCTCGGATCCTATGCACGTGGTAAAGACATACAGATCAGCACGTACATCTAGAGAATCTTCCCTTCCGAACTCTCAGGTAGAGTGATCGCTGTGTGTCCGATGAGATCTCAAACTTCGGAAGCGTACAGCGACAGTGCGCGTCCGTGGGAAACGCTTCGACGCGAAATCATCGATGTCCAGGATGCGATCGGCAGCAAAGTCGTTGCAACGTCATGTGGTGACATTTTGAGAAGTATTTCGAAGAACAACGATGACGTTGACGGAAAATGGATTCCAGATAAGGCTCGTTCCTCGAATCACGGTTCCAAGCGACAGCGATCGAACACACCCACGGTCCGTGAGTACGGAGTGCTCGAGGCGTGTGACTGGCAAGAGAGTAATTTTAAGATCGTCGCCAACGAGATCGCCACGACACCGGATGAGAGGATGGCCGCAAATTATCTCGTGCATAGATTAGGATCATCTTCCGCGCCACATCTGGAGGTGAGACGAGAAGAAGTCGAATCGAATGAGATATGAGTCTCGTTCTTTTATGCTTGTGAAGTCTTTGATTTCCCATTTTTCCGATTTTCGCATCAAAGAGTCAGATTTATTCACTGAATCTGACACGACGCTCTTCGGTGGACCGCCATGATTTCAGCAAAAATGGAGGCGCTCAGCGCGGCGAGTCGCCATCAAGACACCGATTCGTGATTGGTGGTAGGCTCAGAGATCTTCGCTCGCTGATGTTTCCGGAAGACGAGGCTTGTGTTCCAGCAATTCACCTCCTAATAATACTGAGGAACGCGTAAGTAGTATGGAAGCGTTGTAGTTTCTTTCCGCTGTAATTCATGGGTCCTCAGTTACCCTGCAGCTTCTCGAACTAAAATGTTGCACTTATTTCATTTGGAGGATCAGGAAAATCAGCGAGGATCGGAATCACTCAGGCGTAGTGTCGATCCTCGCTCCGACATGGCATCTAGGAATATATTTGGAGTGTACGACAACAAGGTTCTTCTCGTCGAGTTAATCAATTCGGTGGTTTCTCGAGCGGATAAAGTCGTCAAGCTCGCAATCCTTAATCCCTATAAAGTAAAGGATTTCATTGAAGACGAAGAATCCATCCTCGATATAAAGGCGACAAGCTTTTTTTTGTGGAGGTTAGGGAGAAATGCGTTTACGCACGCACGGGCCGAGGTGATGTCAACGCTCTCGGGGACCGGCAGTGTAGGACTCGCGCCTTGCGGTGAATACCCACAAAAAACCCTTATCCTCTGCAACCCTTCTGGGGGAAGGGCGGAAAGGAGCTGGGACTGGCCTGGTGGCCAGCTCCCCCTCTATTGATGCTGACGTCCCTGTTTCTTCACGCACAAAACAGTGAAAAACGCGATTGTTCAGTTTGCTGAGGGCGATGCCCAGCGACGATGAGGCGAGGTGGCCGTTTTTGACGAGAGAAGGCCAAAACGCGGCGATGACGACCCTGTTTCTTCACGCACAAAACAGTAAAAACGAGATTATGCATTGAGCGGCTGGCCGCGCGTCTCCTAGAGTGGGGGCGGCCGTCTGCGCGAGTCGCCATTCCTCGTGTATGCGGTCCTTCCGGGCGATTATTGCCCATGCGAGGCCAGCCACCGACCTCCACTCCTCCGAGCCCCTGAGCATGCATGAAACCGGCTCTGAACACGAAGCGCCTTCCGCAAAGTTGGCCTTTCTCCGGAATTCTTCTCTGATGTCTAGCGTCCCGTTGCAGACCGTAAAGCCGTGTGCGGCGTCATCCTCCTCCCCCGAGGCGCACAGCACGCAAGCCGGCGAGTCCATCTTCCCGATGCGGAACAGGTTTTTGGCAAAGGAGCCGTGTCCTGAGAGTAGCTGCGCGAGGGGATACGAGAGGTTGCCGTCCTTCCGGTCGAGCCAAGGGCCCAGATCCGGGATAAGTCGGGACGTCCAGTATCCTGGCTGGCCGGGAGCTATCCCCGACCACCCGAGCTGCCAGGCGGCGATCGCATCTTCCCTCGTGTAAGAGTCGGCGTCGGACCCTTCCCCGTCCCTGTCCTTCCTAAAGGCGACGCCGACGGTTAAAACGGGCAAGCACTACAACATCGAAGTCCAGGTGGGGTACGGCCCAGATTACGAAAAAAGGCCTTGTACTACTGGGCGAAGCTGTACGAGAAAGAACTCAGAAAAGGACAGGAGTACGCTCGTCTAAAGAAGGCGATCGGTAAACTTTGACGTAAAGCCTGAAGGAGAGGACTACCATAGCACCTACGAATACGTCGACCGGCTCACCAGACGGCGGGGGCTCCATGATTCGGAGATACATCTCATAGAGCTGAGCAAATTCTCCAAAGGCATTGGTGGCCATACAGTGAAAACCCATTGGTGAAACTGTGGAAGATTTGAGTCATACGGTGAAAACCCATTGGTGAAACTGTGGAAGATTTGAGTCATACAGTGAAAGCCCCTCTGAATTGCTGGTTGGCTTTCCTGACTCGTCCCGCTTTACGGGGAAGGATAGCTTGCCGGAAGGATTGGAAGTCGAAGGCATGAGGGGAACTTAATCCGTTCTCGAATCAATCAGCTTCAGCGGTGTCGAGAGGAAGCTTTACGAAGCGCGGGAGAAGAGTCTCCACGACGAAGCCGTTCGTAAGCAACATATGGAAGACTTGCTCAAGCGGGAACTCGAAAAGGTCGGGGAAGAAAATTGAAGAAGAAAGGAGAATCGCCGCGATAGAGGAAGAAAATGAAGGAAGAATTGAGGAAGAAAAAAGAAGAGTGGTGCGCAGACTTGCAAAAAAGTTGAAAGATGAGGGAGCTTCAGAAGATGTAATACGCAAGGTTTCCGGAATTATGTATATGTATAAAAACGTATGTCTGTCTGTTTGTTTGTCTGTTTGTATGTCCGGGCTACCCTATAGACTCGAAAACGGCTGAAGCGATCGTCGTGAAAATTTAGGAGCGTGTTCTGGGGGATCTAGCGGAGGTTATAGGGGGGTCAGTTCTCCGATGCGATGAGTCCTTCTACCTTAAAAAAATTATTTGAGTGCTCCACCCACGAAAATACGAAATCTCGGGAAAAAAATGAGAAATCCGAAATTCGCTAAATTCACAAACGCCTGAACCGATCGCCGCGAAAATTCAGGGGTGGGTTCCCGGGAGTTTCAGGAGGGTCATATGAGGGTCGTCGTTCTCATGTGATGGGTCCTTCCACCATGAGAAAATTATTTGAGTGGTCCTCTCATCGAGAATCAAGGATTTCATCAATGGAAAGACGGGAATTTGCAGGATTTTTCAATGGCTGGACCACCATGTGGGGGCGGATTCTCGGGAGCTCCGAAGAAGGCTGTCGGGGGTCGCCGTCATCATTGGCCTCTGTCTCTCTACTAATGACTCTCGCAGAAAATTGCTGTAGCCGTGATAGATTTTCCGAAGGACATACGGGATAAAAGCGGGGACACGGGGGAGTGGGGAGACGAGAGAGTAGGGAAACGGGAAGTAGGGAAACGGGGAAGTGGGGAAACGGGAACGTGGGAAACGGGGAAACGGGGAAACGGGAAAGGACGGGGAAACGGGAAAGGACGGGGAAACGGGGAAACGGGAACGGACGGCGACCCAGAGCACGCGCGACAAAGGCGAGCGCACTCGGAGCCAGCGCACTCGGAGCCAGCGCACTCGGAGCTAGCGCATGTGTAGTGAGTCAAGCGATACCAAGTCGCCGCCAAGCGGCGACCGGGAGCGCTAGTAGTCGATGAAGAAGTGGATGAGCTTGAGGTTCCATTGCAAAGTCGCGAAGTGTCCCTTGTGTTCTTCTCCTCCTTGCCACGAACTCACCGCTCGGGAGCTCGGGTGTGAGACGAATCATAAGGTCGAACGCGGTGCAGTCTAGGATTACGGGATCTTCTCAACCGACACTCTTCTGAGGGTTTCGCTCGGGTCAGGTCACATCGAAGCAGGAATACAGACCACTCTCTTCCTTCCCGTAACTGAGCGTGTTTTGCTCCGTTCAGCCAGACACGACAACTCCCTTTCGATTTCGCGAGCTCTATGCTGTGGATAAAAGTCCTATAATTTTCGGGTCTCTAATTCCTAAAAAGCATTGGACACATCCTCAAACGGAAGGAGGCGAGCCCCACACTGCCTGGTGGGGTCTGGCTACTCGTCCCAGGTGTGCACCAAGGCATTTCCCTCCCCTCTACAAAGAAAAAGGAAAGGAGGTTCTTCTCGCTTTCGACCCTCGGTTCTCGGGTACCGGTGACCCACGGTTCTCGAGAGGGACGGGTTTTCGAAAGCCCTAGCTATAGGCGAAAATCATGAATGGGTCTCGATAGACGGGACGACGGACTCATGCGGGCGATACGTCGCCAACGTGATCGTCGGACCAGTGCTATCGGATATTCCGCGGTGTTGGCTTGTGAAACCGTCGAGAAGATCAACTCGACTACAATTGCTCTGTTGTTCTGCAACAGCCTGGCGCTCTTGTGGCGAGGGCGCATGTTTCACGACCGTGTCCTCCTCTTCGTCACAGACGCCGCTGCGTTCATGAAATGCACTGGAAACATCCTGAGCGGTCTCTTCCTAAAACTCTGTCACGTCACATGCGTCGCCCACGGGTTACACAAGGCTACCTAGTTACTCGCTGCCGCTTGCGCGTGAGGGGGTGTGGGTTCGATCCGGGCTGCCGGAAGAATATGCATTACTCGGCCTCGATCCTCCCGGGTACATTTTATCTATGGATACGTCCCCGGACGCAATGTGAATATCGGTACCCGGAACATTAAACGTTGGCTGTGAAGTCTAGCCCGGAAAAGTTCGATTTTCGGATTGTGAAAGGGCGTTTCCAGAGCATATTCTGCATGCTTGGTGCATATTCTGCATGTTTTGCGCATATTCTGCATGTTTCGCGCATATTCTGCATGTTTCGCGCATATTCTGCATGTTTGGCGCATATTCTGCACGTCTTGTGCATATACTGCATACATGTATCATGGATATTCTACATGTAGAGCTCCTTGTGATCATTTAGTGCATTTTCTGCATCAATGAATTAAATACCGACAGGATATCCTCAATTCTTC